GAAGGAATGTTCGGGGAGGGTGTCATGGGAAAGATGTGCAAAACTACCTCACAAAAAGCGGCTAATGGAAGAATTTGCTACTAATGCGATAGAAATAAATTTTTTTGAAAAAGATATATTTTACGCATGTATAAAGTCAACATTAGATGCTATCACAGAGAAGGTACTAACTTGTCTTAAAGAAAAATATCCCAACCATTCTATATTCTCGACGTCTGCTGAAACTTTTTCCTTTTGGAGAAACAATAATATCGACGATAATCATTGGGATGAAGCAGAAAGTACGCAGATTATGGATACACTCGAGGAATATATATTCGATAAATTAAATTTTCGACCATGCCAAGAGATAAACACACATTTGGAAAACATGTGTATAGATGATGTAAGTTATTATAAATTATAATATACAGGGTGTTCCTAAAAGGTCTCGGATATATGTGTGTTATTTATTAGAATCCCAGTAAGCAAGAAATATTTAATCAACATTTTATAATGTTGATTTTATATAAATTTTCTAAACGTTATAATGTTTTATATAAATATATGTTTAAAATATTATTAATAAATATTCTACAAAAATATTTTAACTGATGTTTTATAAATGTTTTAAAAATATTATTTAATAACATATATTGCTCTCAAAATATTAATAAAATATTTTAAAAACGTTAATTTCAACATTACCGAAACCTCTAAATCGATGTCAAAGTTTGTTCATAATGATGTTGCATACAATGTTAAAAACTATATATTTGACAACAATAATAACGTTGTAGCAATGATTTTTTGCTTACTGGGATTATCTTCGCTGATGAATTGTTGTATTATAATTTTTGACGCAGGTTTTGAATAATAAATATGGCGAAAAAATTATTTTATTTATAATATATCACAGCATAGCCAGGAGACTTGGTCTACGTTGCGACATAATAACAGTGAATAATACGATCTGGAATACCTATATATTTTGGAAACCAAAACAGTAGGTAAAATATATTAGATGTGGAATTATCTAAATACTTTGGCATTTTTACTTTTATCGTGGATATACACGTGCATACATATATAATTTATATTGTTCATAGTGCTACGAATAATGTTGACAATGCAAGATTTTATAATATAACTTTTGAAAAATTCCCGAAATGTCTTCGTAACCAATTGTCGGTGTGGACGAACTCTGATGTCATATATTCTTCAAGCTTCTTTGTAATAACCCCTACAGAGGTTGGCAATATACATTGTATAGAATTTCTATTAACATTAGATTAGTAGATTAATATCTACTTTTATAACTTCGGTAAAAATTCAATGAAATATGTCTTAAACGTTAATAGGCAGAAAGAACTTTATATTTTTTATTTCTATGATCAGATCTCTGTCATTTTATTTTTGCATATGTTTAAACTTTTTTCAGATGTTGATCTTCTTAAAAAATTATTTTTGTTCGATGGAAGTAAATAAAAGATATGGAATTGATATTCATTGAATCAACCTGAAAAGCGCGTTATATATTATAACCAGGTATGTTAGCAATGTTGTACTTAGATGATTTTAAAATTAGCTAGATAAAGATAAAAATATGTATTCATCTTAGATAAGTTAAAGATGATTTTGTTTAAAATATATCTAGATAAAAGATGAAATTATATGGCGATTTATTTAGATAATTTTCTAGATAATAATTTTTAAGACTGCTTATGTAAACACAGTTATAAAAAAATGTTAATTATAAAAGGGATATAAAAATATATGTATTTATATTTTTATTGTTTACTGCTTAAGTTCTACTATTTAAGTATTTTTATGTGCTATGATTTTATACTAAAATTATCTGAAAATTATTCTAGATAATTTAGTAAAGATAATACTTTTTTCATCTAAGATGCAGATATAGATAATACATATTTTTATTATGTATATAAAGATAAGATGACGCCAAAGTTTTATCTAGATAATTTTATTTAGATAATAGCAAACACTGTATGTTAGTATAAGGTGCATAATAAAAAATAACAATCAAAAATAATTTCTAGAACGCATATCTTTCTAATTACACGCACAATTTTATTCTAATTATAATTATATATAATTTAGTTAGCTGTAATTTAACTTGCTAAAAAAGTATATATTTATGTATTGTTTGACAAGAAAAAGCAATTCAAGTCTGTTCAAAACGCATAAGAAAACATTCTCCGCATAATAAAATATTATACTCGAATAGAATACTTTAGAATATTCTAGACCAATCGATATTTTCAGCAAATCGTTTTTATATGTTTTTCGAGGAGAAAACATCGCGACATAAATCAATCTGTTTCGAAAAAAAACCTCTCAAAATATCAACAATTAACGGTATCACAACTGTTCCGCCGAATACTTATTTTTCAATGAGCATGCGCGGCTTATCACGGGCGCCTCGTTTCACCAATAATTATCGCGATCGCCCGCTCGCGCATGCTTTTTTCCAGCCGTCGTTCCGTTAATTTTGACAGCGGCCAATTACGCGTAATGCGCTCAGGTCACCTCGCGCAATGTTTGAAATACGCAAAACTATTGGCGCTTCACGCGAAGGTGGGCTCCATCCTAAACATTATAAAAGAGGAGCTCACACCCGGCTTACCAGCCTTATCGCTTTTCCGCCGTGAACCGCATAACGCAAACCGCATACTTGTTAAACCGCTAAAATTTCGTTGACGACCGCCGCTTATTCCACACTTTGATTTTGATTACCTTCTCTTCTGTGAAATAATTAACATTTGTCATAAGTTGTTAAAGTGTATTCTGTTATTAAGTGTTTGTTGAAATTAAACTCTTTAATACAAAAAAGGTGACTCATCCTTTGTGTTGCGCGATCCTCTCTCTCGCAGCGCGTTCGTGAACATATTTCTGGTCCTTCGAGCCGGATATCGCACCGGCAACCGCAAGTTCGCGAGCATGACTCTTCGTGTGAGTGAAGAAAGTGAGCATCTGTGTGTGCAGCCATCATGGATGTACCCACGCTGGTCGACTGTCAGCGTGAGATTCAAATCCGCATCTCACGTTCCGTGGAGTATTTGAAGAAGCTGGGCAGCTCCAATATCACTACCAGTGCTATCGCCACACGCACCAGAATTTTGGATCAGCTGTGGACAAAGTTCGAAGCGCAGCACGATCTTATCCCAGCAGCCTTAAAAGAAAAGTTCAGCGAGAGCGATTATTTTAAGTCAGAATTGCACGCTGATACGGAGAATCTGTATCTCAATCAAAGAAGCATACTTGACGGCTACGCCGAACACTTTCGTGCAGCGAACGTACCTCCTTTTGCCGACGCCACGCCAAGGTCGTTACTGCCGCGCATCAAAGTACCGCCATTCTCTGGTGCCTACGCAGATTGGCCGTCGTTCAGAGATCTCTTCCTCTCCGTCGTGAGTGGCAATGCAATCTCCAACATCGAGCGCTTTCATCACCTCTGCTCATGCTTGACAGAGCCGGCTGAAAAATTAATCAAGTCGTTACCTGTCACCAGTGACAATTATGATCGCGCTTGGGCGATCCTGGACAAACATTATAACAATAAAAAGGAATTGATCCGCTCCAACTTTGCCACGTTCATCGCCGTGCCAAAGATGAAGGGAGATACCGCAGAGGAGTTGAGACGCATTCACAACGCCGTTACTGCCGCCATCAATGGTCAGGAGAGCATTGGACATCCAATTAACATTCACGGAATGGACCTCTTCAACTTCCTAGTCACCGAATTGTTTGACGCACGCACGCGTCTGGAGTGGGAGTCGTCCACGTCAGACTCATCAGAGCCGGCACAAAACGAGGCACTCGTTAACTTTATCAGCCGACGGATCCTGACGCTCAATGCCGCACGACCGAAGAGCGTCAGCAAACCGTCCGGAGAGGCTTCACGGATTGCCAAGGCTCACGTCACTAAGCACCAAGGAGCTGAGCCGCCGCACTGTACACTGTGTCGTGAAAGGCACACCTTGATGACCTGCCGAGATTTCAAGGCCAAGACCGTCAACGAGCGTAAAGCATTTGTAGAGACGAACAAGCTCTGCTACAACTGCTTAGGAAACCACTTCTTATCTCGCTGTCAGTCGAAGAAGAACTGCCTTACGTGCGACGCACGACACCACACTACGTTGCACGGAGCAACCACGTCTTCACAGGCAGCTGAGGCTACCACATGCGCCACTACACTGACCACGACTCTTCAAGATCGAGATCATAAGGCTGTTCTTCTTGCTACAGCTCGAATTAACATCGCCGATCGGTACGGCTCACCACACGCCGTACGCGCCTTGATCGACCAATGCTTCGAGGCGTCGATCATTTCTGAGGCCTTGGCGCAACGTCTCCGCCTGCCTCGAGTCTCGACGGATCTCTCTATCTTCGGAATCAGAGGGACCCGCTCAGGATCAGCTCGTGGCAAGGTCACGCTGCACGTCACGTCAGACGTGACCAACGCCGAGCTCCGCGTGGTAGCTTTTGTGCTGCCCCGCATATCATTGCAGCAAGGCTCAGTCTCGCGAGAAGAACGCAGCTGGCCTCATCTCGACGGACTCCAGCTGGCCGATTCTCGCTTCCTGGACGACGACCCAGCTGAGCTACTGCTGGGAGCCGAGGTCTACTCCTTGATCCTCGAGGAAGGCCTCCGCAAGGGTGACTCAAGGATGCCGATCGCCCAGCAGACCAGCCTGGGATGGATCCTGTCCGGCGGCTACGACGCAACAGCAATCAACGGACATCGTCGCACATTCCGGTGCACCGCCGATCACGATCTCGCCGACCTCGTTCGACGCTTTTGGGAGCAGGAGAGCGAGCCAATAACTCGGGCTCCACTTACTCCCGAGAAAGCTAAGTGCGAGGAATTATATGTACGCACCGTCACACGCACGTCCACCGGGAGGTACATTGTGAGGCTACCACTTTCATCACCGCCGACGAATCTTCACGAGACTCGCTGACCAGCGGAGCGCCTCCTGAGAGCCATGGAGACCAAAGGCAGCCGAGATCCTCGATTTGGCGACCTCTATCGCAGCTTCATGCAGGAGTTCGAAGACCTACAACACATGAAGAGAGTCAACATTGCAATTACAGCGGATGACCTCAAGTGTTACTTACCGCATCACGGGGTCCTGAAGGAGTCGAGCACGACGACAAAACTCCGAGTCGTATTTAACGGCTCTTAACGCACACGGGCCGGTACTTCGCTGAACTCTCATCTGTTGACTGGGACGAATCTTCTGCCTGCGCTCAACGACGTGTTGCTGCGATGGCGTTGGCACCGGTACGTCTTTGTCACCGACGTAGAGAAAATGTACCGCCAAATCCTCGTACATCCTGAGGATTGCCGTCTTCAAACAATCCTGTGGCGTCACAACAAGACAGACGAAATCCAAGAATACGAGCTGCTAACGGTGACCTACGGCATGGCTTGTGCACCGTTCCTGGCCATACAAACGCTGCGGCAACTCTGTGCAGACGAGGGGACGCAATTTCCTCAAGGGGCCACAGCACTTCGACGTGACTGCTACGTCGACGACGTGGTCACCGGCGCAGACAACCTCGACGATGCCATCAACCTTCAGACGGAGCTGCGCCACCTGTGCACGGCGGGCGGATTTCCACTGAGGAAGTGGGCCTCAAATAACTCCGAGGTCCTCGCGGGAGTCCCTCAAGAGCATCGGCTGCAGCAAGGACCGCATTCATGGGACGGAGAGAGCCATTCGACCTTGGGCCTGCGATGGCATCCTCAAGATGACTGGTTTGCTTTCGCAATACATCCGCGTTCAGTCACAGAATTCACGAAGCGACGAGTCCTCGCCGAGACTGCACGGCTATTCGACCCGATGGGCTGGCTTGCGTCTGTCGTGATTCGGGCGAAGATCCTGATCCAGACCACCTGGCTTCAGCAGCTGGACTGGGACGCTCCACTGCCTGTCAAGGATGTTCAACGTTGGCAACAGCTGCTGAACCAGCTACCTCTGCTCAGCAACATACGAGTTAATCGCTGGCTCAGCACCGACGACGATCACTCAAGGCTGCAGCTCCACGGCTTCGCTGACGCTTCCGAACGAGGATACGCCGCAGCGGTTTACCTCCGCAACTCTGAAAAGAGGAAAGCATCAACTAATTTGCTCATGGCAAAATCCAAGGTCGCACCCGTTAAGCAAGTTTCACTGCCTCGCCTGGAGTTGTGCGCTGCTGATCTACTCACCACGCTCACACTGCATGTCCGCAACACGCTCGGCTTGGCGTCTACTCCAGTGTACCTGTGGTCCGATTCCAAGGTCACGCTCCATTGGATCCAGGGACACGCCACCCGCTGGAAAACTTTCGTCGCCAACCGGGTAGCTCATATCCAAACACAGCTCCCGGACGCTCAGTGGAAACACGTAGCCGGGAAAGACAATCCTGCAGATTGCGCATCAAGAGGAATTACTCCTGGGGAATTAATCAACCACGCATTATGGTGGACAGGACCTGCCTGGTTGGCACTGGACGAAACGGCGTGGCCCAACTCAGAGGTCGATATCTCAGAGGACGACCTTCCGGAACAACGCACCACCAGCCTGATAACCAGGAGTTCCGTCATCATCGAACCGGACCTCCTTCTTCGGTTCTCCGCACTTCATCGGCTACTGCGCGTTACGGCTTGGTGCCGTCGATGGCTCAACCTGGCGAGCCGGGAAGTCACATCTGGTCGCCCGCTGCATCCTGACGAGCTAGACGCCGCTCTACTCCAGTGGCTTCGAGTGGTGCAGGCGCTCCACTTCCCTGACGAGGTAGCTGCTGTCACCGCAGGACGGCCCGGTCTACCACGCAGTTCACTGGTCAAGCTGAACCCATTCCTCGACGACCAAGGTGTACTTCGCGTCGGAGGACGCCTCAAGCACGCTCTGCTGCCCTACGACGAAAAGCACCCGGTGATCGTCCCGCCGGCCTCCTGGATGACGCGACTGCTAATCGAGTCCTGCCATCGTCGGTCTCTGCATGGCGGCGTCCAGATGACTCTCAGCTTACTTCGCCTTCGATTCTGGGTGCCACGTGGAAGGACCGTCGTCAAGCAGCAATTGCATTGGTGCGTTACTTGCACGCGCTGGCGAGCTGCCACTTTACAACCTCCTATGAGCAACCTTCCTCGTGACCGAGTGACGCCGACTCGGCCATTCCTGAGTATTGGCCTGGACTACGTGGGACCCATTTCTATCCGGACCAGCAAGGAACGCGGACACCGCTCACAGAAGAGATACATCGCAGTTTTCATATGTTTCTGGTCAAAGGCTATCCACCTCGAGGTCGTCTTGGATTACAGCTCCGAGGCCTTCATCGCCGCCTTACGCCGCTTCGTCTCTCGCAGAGGTCTGTGCACGGACATCTACAGCGACTGCGGCACAACATTCATTGGCGCCGATCGCACGCTGCGTGAGCTCTTCAAGGCGTCGACCTCCGAGGGCCATCACGTCGCCCGCGCCGCCAACACTCAAGGGATCCGCTGGCACTTTAATCTGCCAGCGGCCCCTCACTTCGGTGGTCTTTGGGAGGCTGCCGTAAAATCTACGAAATTTCACCTCCGTCAAGTAATCGGCGAAATTACACTTACGTTTGAGGAGCTTAGTACACTCCTCACACAAATAGAGGCGTGTCTTAATTCTCGTCCGTTACAGGCTCTGTCAGACATCCAGACGACACTTCGGCGCTCACACCAGGCCACTTCATCATCGGAGCACTGCTACTCGCGGTACCTGAGCCATCGCTGACGGGTCAATCAACCTCCACGCTGTCACGCTGGCGTCACCTGCAGCTGATGCGAGATCATTTTTGGCAGCGGTGGTTGGCTGAGTATGTGCACGGTCTCAACCCCCGCACCAAATGGTTCAAGGCCGAGTCCGTACCTCACGTCGGGGACCTCTGCATCATCCGCTCGGAGCTCACCCCTCCGACCCGATGGCCTCTCGCGCGGATCACGAGACTGCATCCCGGGGACGACAGTATCGTCCGCGTGGTCTCAGTCCGCACCGCCACATCCGAACTCGTGCGCCCGATCGTCAAATTGGTCATGCTTCTGGGCGTGGATCGTATTCCGAGCATGAATAATGCGGACACGCCGTCCGCCGGCACGTAACTCATCTCTCATCTCGCGACACTCATTCACCACATAATCATCACATGCACAGTAACATTTGTCGCACCTCATTCTTCTCATAATCACCGCATTGCACTACACACTATTCATTGCACATCAAACACGCGTTTTCACTCTCGCAGCTGATCGCTCCGCACCACGCTATCACCACGTGTTTATCGACTTGTCAGCTGCTCGCGTCACATTCCACGCGATCATCAAGTATTTCGCCGCGCCGGCGCGCGCCCGCCTCACCATCGATTGCTATCGACTTGAGATTCCGCGGCCGAAATTCGACAACATGTTGTCACTGCGCGACAAGGCGGACGGGAATGTTTAAAACGCATAAGAAAACATTTTCTGCGTAATAAAATATTATACTCGAATAGAATACTTTAGAATATTTTAGACCAATCGATATTTTCAGCAAATCGTTTTTATATGTTTTTCGAGGAGAAAACATCGCGACATAAATCAATCTGTTTCGAAAAAAAATCTCTCAAAATATCAACAATTAACGGTATCACAACCGTTCCGCCGAATACTTATTTTTCAATGAGCATGCGCGACTTATCACGGGCGCTACGTTTCACCAATAATTATCGCGATCGCCCGCTCGCGCATGCTTTTTTTCAGCCGTCGTTCCGTTAATTTTGACAGCGGCCAATTACGCGTAATGCGCTCAGGTCACCTCGCGCAATGTTTGAAATACGCAAAACTATTGGCGCTTCACGCGAAGGTGGGCTCCATCCTAAACATTATAAAAGAAGAGCTCACACCCGGCTTACCAGCCTTATCGCTTTTCCGCCGTGAACCGCATAACGCAAACCGCATACTTGTTAAACCGCTAAAATTTCGTTGACGATCGCCGCTTATTCCACACTTTGATTTTGATTACGTTCTCTTCTGTGAAATAATTAACATTTGTCATAAGTTGTTAAAGTGTATTCTGTCATTAAGTGTTTGTTGAAATTAAACTCTTTAATACAAAAAAGGTGACTCATCCTTTGTGTTGCGCGATCCTCTCTCTCGCAGCGCGTTCGTGAACAAAGTCTGTTACCGTTTTTTTGTCGATAACATAAATCATGCCGATCGCATTCGTTTGATTAATCTCGCGTATTTCCACCGCAGTATAAAGGATGAGAGGAGTATAGGTGAATTTATTAATTAACACTCGAACGACACTTTATTTAAACAATATGCAGCAACCTTTGCGAATCTAAAGTTTTGACAATCTCAGAACGTATCGCTTCGGCCACAGTAACAAGTACTGTTTAGCAATGGTTCACAGAGTATTTCAACGCGGACTTAAACGGATTCAGTGTAAGCTCCTTGCCATCTCAATTTGGATTGACTCCGAAAACATGTATTCTTGTTCGCGATAATAAAAGGGGAAGAAATCACACGACATAGAAAAGGCCAATAAGCTACAAGCTCGTGGCTTTCCGATCAAAACAATCAGTATAAGAAGTAGGCAAATATCGGAGCCTGTTGTCAGGTCAATGACCGAGAACGGTCTAGATAGTATAATCGAGAATATTTTCATTGTATTCTTTAATTTCCAAACAGCCGAAACAAAGTCTGATCTTACATTTTCAAGTCCATTATAGAAAAATTTAAAAAACCAGAGCAGTCAAATACAAGATTAGAAAACGTAAAATTTGCAGTTGGAATGATAATTGAACATGGTAACGAATTATAGTTGTATTATTATTAATATAGATGGAATTTAATTATAGATCAGATATAATTATAGAATAATAATTATAGGTAAAAAGGTGGGTGTGATCGTCAGATGGTACAGACATGTTGATAAACATCTTACGTTGTATCATTTTCAACAAGAAAATTTTGTAAGGCAACAAACAAATTACATAATTCTCACTGAGAATAATAGATTTTATCAAGTAAAAGAAGGTATAAATATCATTTGTACACAATTTTTTTTTCAAATTACATTTATTTATTATTCGAGCTCATCTTTCCCAGACAGCACAGAATATTTATAAAATATTTATAGAATATTTTTTTATAATAATTATTTAAATATTTTATAAATATTTATCATAAATATTTTATAAATGTTTTGGAGTCTTAGATTCAATAGATCATAAATCTTTATCATAAATATCAGAAAATATTTACGATAAATAGTATGGTAAATATTATAAATATATTTATTAAATTATTATGATACAAATGTTTAAAAGTTATATTTTTTAAAATAAATACTTTGTAAGAAATCATGAGTTAAAAAGACATTATCAACGATTTTTTAATCAAAACAATCGGTTGATACAGTCTAATCTAAAATTTGGTCAATTAGATGTTTTTCAAACTCTATTAGCCATTTATAAAAAGTTAAAAATGTGTAAAAAATGTTCATAAGTAATTTATTAGACATTTATTTTAAAATAGAATATAAAATTATAATATACACTGAATATACTTAGGCAACAGAGTAAATTAACAAATAAATTTACGTACACATCGATGTATACGTAAACTTATTTGTTAAAAGACATTCTGTTGCAGAATATAGCTCAAAAATAAAAATAATTTTTTGACATTTTAAATTTTTTAAATTTCCATTTTTGCCAACCTTATATAATTCTCACGACGAAAATCAAATACGAAAAAGATACGTCACATAGCGGTAAATAATAGAACTAACAATTTAGTTAAAAAATATTTACAAAATAATTACTATAAATATTTATCTTTACATACCATAAATATTATATGAAATATTTAATCTATGTTTTAACAATACGTTAAATAAAGGTTTTTATAAAACATTTTCAAAATAGATGCGTGACTATCAATATTCATTTTTTGCACATATTAGTTATTTTTATGGACGAGAGGCGATGAACATGTTAAAATTATGGTTAAAGTATGAAAAAACCATTATTGTCGGTAAATTGAAGATTGGTTTCTTACGTAATTGTAAAAAACATGACGTTTTTCCGACACATATACTCTCAATATTTAAAAATTATGAACACAGTGTAACAAATCACAGGTCTTATTGTAGATTTGATCGCATTAAGAAGATTTTCTGTAAAAAACTGTTAAAATTAGAAATTGACGACACATATGACACATTAGGAAATCACAGACACATATTATTAACATATTGAGCTCGATACATTATTATATTCCAGAAGTGGTATGTATTGAGTTTTTTAACTGTCAAAACAAATCATTGTTTTATTTTTTTATGAACAGACGTAATGGATTTGAGAAGAAACTTGAATTCATGTTAAAAAAACAAAAAATTCAGAAAAGACTCCTCATTAAACCAATTAAGTATCGTTGTACCACTAAAGCTAATAATATAAATAATAATAATGAAAACACAATAGGATATCATTACCAGATAGAAAATATTAACTACAATTTTAATTCTACTTTGAATAATAACTTATTAATTGTAAATAAACAACAGGAGTTAAAGGATAAAGGAGAAGAATTTGAAGTAAATGTCGATTTTAATTCTTTTCCAGATTCTAATCCGAATCTTTTTAAAATTAATAATAATTAGTTTATTAATTTATCAAATACTACAATACTGGACAATATAATTAGTCTGCTTCAATTAGGTAAAAACTTTAGTCTTCCGAATAATAATAAGGTACAATTAACCATTGATTTCATAAAATATTTTGAAAATAATCTAAAAAAACTGCCTCCGGATAAAAGAGTTTTTGTCAAAGAAAAATCTAGGAATG